ATTTTTACAACAATTATCTCAATGATTATCAAGTCCGACGTGGTCGCATAGGGCTGAAACAAATCATCGTTCCATGTCATTTCATAGCAGTCTTGACCACAAAGCTATATTTGATGGTTTTTTTTTTTGGTTTTAAAGCTATTCAATTATAAGTTTTTAAGCGACAACTTACTCAGAATTGTCTGAACTTCTGAGACCGATGATCTTTTGCAACATGCATATTGCGCATGCGCTTGAAAATAATACATCCGGTCGACATTCGGTCGATTACACATTGCTATGGACCGCGTCATAAAAAGTAAAAAAGGTCTGTATTTTTGGCAAGACTTTATACTTTTGTGCTTTAAACAGATACTCTTGTACGACAGCCAAACAGTATCAATTTTCCTATTCAAAAGAAACATTAGAAACTATCAATATTGCGAAATAAATGCGTAACAACGCGAAATAAAAGGCGAAATTACTCAAAACAAAAAACGTTGTAACGAAAATAAAGTTAATAATGCATGCAGATTATTTTTCAAAACAAACCATTCAATCTAAACTATAACGATTACGTCATGATTTAAACACTTCTAATCTCGGCCTTTAATAAAGCATTGCGAAAAACATACTTAAGCATGAATATTGAATAAAAGTTGATGCTTTTTCCGTTTTGAACGAAATCTCTGTGGTGTTATTTGCTTTAAATTATTCAAATTTACGTCATATGGGAGAACTTTTTTGTTAAAATTGTTCCCATGATGAATGTCAGGAATTGTTCTTAACAGACGGGGTTAACAGCCTGCAAAGTACTGATATGTGACTTAAATGTATGTCATCCGATGGACGGCAAATGTAGGTCCCCCACCCCTAATTTTCTTCCCGGGGGTACAAACAAACTTTTGCCGTTATAGCATTATTGGACACTGACACTCAAACTCCAAAGTCTTCACAAAATCTGACCGTTTTGTGGCAGTATGTTTCTCCAATATAAATAATGGGGCATAATAGGGGAAAGTCAGGAGGGTAGAAACTCATCACGGTTTTTTTTTTCCAAAAAAATTTTCGAGTATGACATAAATACATGATTATTAGGTTAAAATCTTGTGGATGACTCGCTTTTACATATGAAATTTTAGTGTACACATGGATCAGGGCAATTGCGACATTTAGCGCTTATTGCGACATTTATGGTCAGGACAATTGCGACATTAAACATTCATTGCAAACATTTAGCGACATCCTTGCGACATTTTGCGGCGCTGCAACATCTAACGTTGCTGCAAAGCACATGGTGTAACAATTCAAACTTGTGTGTGACACAATTTCCTACGTTGAATATTTTATGCATGACAATTTTTATTTATTCATTTATTTTTGGAGGGGGTGGGGGAGATAAACTATGTCACATGATATCGCTTCTTTAAATATCATATAACCATTATGAATGTTTGCAGTGTATATGACATGGAAAGTGTACCTGCAAGCTTATTAATGTCCTTAGAATAAAATTTCATGCATCTAAGATTTATAATATTTAGTTGCCAATGATATTACTAGAACGGCTCACTCGCTGTGTTCGATCCAAACTCACTTGGGAAAATGTACAAGTTCCAGTCAGGGATTTCTAGTAATAAAACATATTGAAAACTTTAAATACGTCACATAGCCACAATGATTATTAATTTCACAGATAACGACGTTGTAATGTGATAGGGAATAACATATGAATATTTTACGGCACTTGCTGTTTGTCATAAATTGAATTTGAGAAAGATGAACGTATTGCTTAATCAATTAATGATGAAGTTAAATGTGTCTTTTTCATCCTTCGGATTTCAATCTCTGTGAGTGGACGAAAATAAAACCTACTTTAGTTTTATCACGTACTAGTATCAGTTTAACACTTCAAGATACATTACTTTGCTATGGTGGCCGAGTTGGGTATGTTGAATTTTAGCTCCGCGGGGCGCCAGACAGATGTACAAAAATACGACAGTGACCATTTTGTCGTATTTTCGTTGCACGCTGCGTACTTTTGTGTTTTCGTCGCCTGGCGTCCAACTGACCAATTTGTGTTTTCGAATAAGGTACCCGCATAGCGAAAGTACGACATGGTATAATTAAGTCACCATACTTTGTCATTCAGAGAATATTTCAAAACAACAACAATTTTTATGCAGACAAATCTAAAACGTCTAGACATTTCTGCGTTTTTTAAAGATACACATTTCGACGAATGATACATTTTCTACGTCGATCTGTTTGTGTCGTCATTTCTGCAAATTGACGACTTCTTTTTATTTAACATACCAAAGCGACGAGACTATTCGATGAGGCAATGACATACTTATCGCATGTTTTATTTCTCTATGCTTCTACTATAAGCATGTATATTAATAAAGAATAAAACAATATTAGTAGTCTTCGACCATTCGGAAACTATTTTGCTTGAAAAATAATGCGCCTGTCATTTGACAATCTTTACGTAGTGATCTCCCCTGAATTTTTCGGCATTAGTGTAAATACATATAAAGGGAATTATACCATTATTATAATTGATTTACAGCGATTGTCTATAAATGACTTTTTCAAAGTAGCGGAGACAATGTTTTTTACAATTAGCGACATTTTTTTCAAAGTCAAGATACTGCTTTTAAAACGATTTGCAACATTACCAATTTTTGAGAATTCACCCATATTTTGAGAGGAAGGGGGAAAATTTTCCATAGACAAAGAAGGAAAAAGATCAACAAATGTAATAAATTCTCACTTTTCAATAAAAATCCCCTCTGTTTTTCGAATCCTAGAATAAACACTGCATTACTATTATTATTAACATTCAAGAAAACTATATTAAAAACAAAATTGGTGACATTACTTTTAGCAGTCAAGAACACTATATTTAAACAGTTTGGACATTAAATTTTCCTATTATGGAAAACAAGGTTTAAAACGATTGGCGACATTACCTTTTCACAGTGAAGAACACAACTTTTAAAGTAATTTGCGACATAACTTTTTTCAAAGTCGAAAACTATGTTTTAAACGATTGGCGACATTACTTTTCACAGTCAAGAACACTAAATTTAAACGATTTGCAACATTAGATTTTCATGGTGTAGAAAACTATATTTAAAACGATTGGCGACATTACTTTTCACAGTCAAGAACACTAGATTTAAACGATTTGCAACTTTAAATTTAATAGCCGAGAACGCTGTTTGTAAAACGATTTGCGACATAACTTCTATCATAGTGGAGAACATTATACATGTACTTGAAATGATTGGCGACATTACTTTTTCATAGTCGACAAAATATGTTTGAAACGATTTGCGATATTACTTTTTGAAGTAAAAACACTATACATGTTTATTTAAAGGGATTTGTGACATTCAATTTTCATAGCTGAGAACGCTGTGTGTAAAACAATTTGCGACATTACTTTTTTATAGTCGGGAACATTATATTTAAGATAATTGGCCACATTACTTTTTTCACAGTCGAGAAAACTATGGTTGCGACATAACCTTTTTCATAGTCTATTACACTATAAACTATATTACTACATTGCCACTGTATTGAAATCTATTGTCGACTTTACATTTTCACAATAGATAACACTTTGTCTCAAACGATTGGCGACATTGAGCTTTCCACAATTAAACATCCGATGACATGAACTTAACAATTAACTATCAACTTAGTTGTGTTGAACGCGAATGGCGACACTTTGTTTTTCAAGACTCTTTATATTCATTTTATAAAAAATCATTCTTTCCATTTATCATTAAAACACATTTTTGACGTTCTCGTATTAGAATCTTCAAAGCTGTAGTCGTTGTACAAATTACTGAAATATCTAAGCTATTTGACCAATTTAATTATTCGCTAAGTTAAGTGATTTAGTATTTTGTATGGGAGACAAAATGCCACTTTGCATTTTTGACAAATATTTCTATAATCATTCATTATTAGAAAATTAAATATAACACAAATTTACGTTTCCTTTGAGCGAAAATAATTTCCACGTGCCCTTAAGTATTCATTTTCAGGTGTGAACTGTAGCCAAATATCATATATAAGATCGTAAGGTTCTGGGCCTATAACCGTTATGGACACTTGAAATTATCTCCTCCTCCTCCTCCCCCCCCCCCCCCCCCCCCCCCCCCCCCCCCCCCCCCCCCCCCCCCCCCCCCCCCCCCCCCCCGCCTCTTTCATTTTTTCACTTCGAGTATTTTTACGCAAAACTTTATTCTAAATTTATACACGGAATGTTCTGTAAGCTATTATAAACTGGAAAAAAATATGCAACTAATAACGAAAAACTTCTTCGGTTCTTTATGCAATTACTTTTAACGTTTGACTTTATCACTTTTGATTTAAGATTTTTGCAGTGTAGGGATTCGATAGTTCTTTCCTCTTCTCTCCTAGGATAACGATATTTTGTTGTGTGTGTTTTTTTTTTTTTTTTTTGTTTTTTTTTTCATTGAATTTAGTAGTTTGATTCTTCTTTGAAAAAAAAGACGTAATTTAATGATATTAAAAGTAAACACTCATTCAAATGATGGCTTCGGTAACATTTACGTTTAGCAAACAAAGCAATTTTTTATACAATACCTATAATTGATGGCTTTTGAGATTGTTAAACCTCTTCGCGTTGAATAACAAGAATGGAGCGGTGTTATATATTTATCCCTGCCTATTTATAATACTAATTTGTACTAAATATAGTACTAATTTGTGATACTTGTACTATTTACACAAGACAAATTTAATTTCGAAACAACTTTAATAATTTATAACTAAGTTTTGTATCTAATGAGTTAAACTGAAACCTGTCAGGTTACACTCTGTGTGGCAGGGAATGTAAATCGGTTTTTGCCAATCAGAAAGAGCCTGTTGTTCGTTGTGTACACTATATTCCATTCCCGCGAATCATGGCACGGAAATGATTTGATAATTAAAATTGTATATGGTTACATACTTGAAGTAAGTGCATGTGCACTTTTGCGTACTTTGGTTAAGTTATGCATAATTGGCGAAGTCTTCCGAACGGAATGTTTGTTGTCCATTATGACTGACTGAAGACGGAAAGAAACTTTTCTAGGTTTAAATCTTATAACGAAATAAAAATAGCTTCGAATGAAATGCGGAAATGCGTAAAAAGGATCACTAACCGTGATGGAATGCCTATTGCCAGTTCTTTGGACAATCGTTTATGCTTCTATATGTTCGAGATTTACTCATGCCGAAAACTTTGGAAATTTTAAAAACATCTTATGGTCGACTTGTTTAGAATCAAGAAAAGAGGCACTTTACTTTATGAAACTTTCTATTCAACAGTGTATTAAGGAATGTGCTTTGAGAAGTGCTTGTGAATTTTTAGGGTACGATATGCGGCTTCGCCGATGTGGGTTGTATTTTAATGAGGATTTCAACAATAAAGATGAAAAAGGGGGCACGTGCGCGTTCATTTTTCGAAGGGATTTGAATCTCCAAGAGGTAATGAAATCGTTAAAGAATAAAAATGTTTTCAAGCGCAAATAATTTTAATTAGTATTGTTTAATAACATAAGACAAAAAGTAATACATGTATTATCAACTTAAGATAAAAATAGTATTATTTACTAAAGTCAATGCAAATTAATTGAGATGTAGAATGAAAGTACTCTATTAAAATGAAATAAATAAATATATAAATAAAAATAAATAAATGAATAAATAAATCAAAGCAACATAACAATTCTATGTTTCCAAACTACTTAATTCCAGTTGTGAAAAAAGAAAGCCGAATGTATGAATTTTGTGATCTTACTTTTATTAAACGACAAATATTGTATAAGTAATAAGAAAGTGACCACTACGCAATTTAACCAATCATTTTCAAAACGAAACCAGAAATGACCAGCTTGTCCCAAATTGTCAACATCATGTAGTAAAGAAACAATTCTGGTTTAGTACGACGCTGTCCATCTTTTCTTAAAATGTGACGGACTATATCATATTTCCACACGAGTCAGCGACGAGGGGCGGTGAGGGGGCGGTGAGGAGGGCGTTGAGGGGGCGGTGAGGGGCATTTGAGTCTGATAGCTGCATATTCAGAAATTATGTGTAATATTAGTGTAATATGTCTAGTATTTTGTTTTCTAAACTGAAAACATGATAAATAGAATACTTAACAAGTGTCTGATATTATAAAATTTATCAGGCTCGGCGCGAAAAACATGAAAGGCTCGACTAAAAACCTTCCCTTTTTTTTTTGTTTTAGAAATGTCCAAAAAAGTTTGTATATCAATTCTCTATTAAAATTTTTAAGCCGGGGGAAAGTATTTAAATAGTTTACATAAAGCCCCTACTTATGAAATTATAAGCATACATGATCTAGGCCTTTAATGTTTTGTCAAATATTGTTTTTAAAATTTGTAGCTATTGAGTAGGGACATTGAATAACCTTAAACTCTCGTGTCATGTCGCATTATCTCGTATTAAATGAAACAAATATTCAATTAGAGAAATTCAATGCCTTCAAATGATTTCATCAATTTTGAAAGATGAGACAGTGCGATAATTATAGAATTATGATTTTATATTTGTTTTATACTAAATCGATTCTTGTTGTATATATTACTGCTTATGTATATATACATTCTTTTCCATCTTTTATCAGATTGCATCAGTATGCTCTTGCAACAATGGACAAGTGTGTAGTTTGAACAATGGACACTGCCTAATCAAAGGTAGGTTTCTACAGAAATAGTATGTCTAAAGGGAATTGGTCTATAATGAAAGGGTCTGTAAATTATATTGAATAATTAAATTGAAAGAATTTAGTATCAGACTTAACAACACACCACGGAAGAACTATATATAGAAGTTGTTAGCAAGTTTGAGATACATGATCCGATATTTTATAAATTAATTATACTTATTTAGTAGATAATAAAATGTTTTAGAACAAAATTTTATTATTTATCATATAATTCTCATTTTAAATCACTTAGAATTATATCAACATTTTTACTAGCAACAGTTTTTATCAGAATTTCCAAATGACACGTTTTTATTGTTTTTACTGATATTTGAAAAAACTTCTTGGAATTGTGCCCATTGTTGACCCATCCACTTTAAAGCTGTGCGTGTTGTTGCTTTCTACAATGCATTTATCAAGACTTTTTTGTCAGTATGACTCGACATGCAAACAAACTGAAGGTTTCCTGAGGGGGAAAGTTTTAATAATTTAAAGATATTTTATTAAACTTTTTTCAAAATTGTTTCAAAACCGTTTGCATCAAGAATATCGAATATTGGAAGGTCTATTAATACCGGTGACCGTCGAAAATCGGAGACCGTATCATCAAGACGTTTGAGATTGGTCTTTCAAGCGTCTTTGCGCATGTTTTCATTCATTTTTTATTAATGAAAGATAAAGAAGTAAATAAATAAATATTTACAAAATGAATTATTAACAAAATGGCAAGTTTACGCGGCCGAGCTGTACCCACAGCGTTAATAAGAACCGTCTTATTATATGACAATTGTCGTACCTTAGTATATACTCCAATATGGTTTTAAGTTTTCGCGTGCTGTAAATGCGTATGTAAATGACCGCTTTATTCACAACGTCAAGAATGAAGAGTCGCATAACGTAAGAAAACTAGAAGCGCCATACGACGACACGAGGGTACAACACATTGGTGACGTCGTGTTTGTGTGCTTTCGCCTGGCGCCCCGCGCAGCGAAAATACGACATGGCACAATATCAATTCTTTTTCTGCGACAATATTACAATATATTGTAATATAGTGAAATATGTTTTTGTTTTTTTTTTTTGTTTTTTTTGTCACGTACCATGACACCGCTTTAGCATTCAGATTCAATTCAAATAATGTTTTAGTAATTAGTGAAAACATTTCAAGTGTACAAGTAACCTAGCACAAGGCGCGTGCTATTAACGGAAATGACAGCTTACATGTCAAAATATACGTAATTATAATTAGAACTAGTATTCCGTTAGTAACGCGGTAGACAGAAATAGTAAATTCTATAATATTTTGCATCATAAGTTCAACGTTGTACCTAGATTTTAACAACATGTCATAGCTGTATAAACCATTGTTTGTTCTATAGAGCTGTAATAATTTGTACACCTATTAAATTTAAATTTTAATGACAGCAACTTATAAAGCATTCTCGAAAGAGATCCGTTAAAAACATAAATGACGGAAATGGGAATTTGCGTTCTTCGGACATCGCTTGAACAATCCTGATGTACAATACAAATGATAGTATGTGAGAAGTTAGCAGTTAACAGTGAGCTAAGCAAAAAGGCATTACGATTTATATAGGGAAATCAATGATCTGCTGTTATGCTGCTCAGCTGGGTAAACAATCTAGCAGAGCATTCCAAAATAAAGTGTAGAAATGCTTTGCTGGTATGCTCAGCTGGGTAAGCAATTTAGCAGGCCATTACTTAATATAGTGTAAAAATGCTCTGCTGGTATGCTCAGCTGGCTAGGCAATCTAGCAGGGCATTCCTAAATAAAGTGTAAAAATACCCTGCTGTTATACTCAGCTGGCTAAGCAATCTAGCGGGACATTTCCCAAATATAGCGTAAAAATGGTCTGCTGGTTTGCTCAGCTGGCTAGGCAATCTAGCAGGGCATTCCTAAATATAGTGTAGAAAATACTCTGTTGTTATACTCAGCTGGCTAAGCAATCTAGCGGGGCATTCCAAAATATAGTGTAAAAAGCTCTGCTGTTATGCTCAGCTGGCTAAGCAATCTAGTGGGGCATTCCAAAATATAGTGGTAAAATGCTCTTGCTGTTATGCTCAGCTGGCAAAGCAATCTAGCGGGGCATTCCCAAATATAGTGTAAAAATGCTCTGCTGGTATGCTCAGCTGGCTAGGCAATCTAGCAGGGCATTCCTAAATATAGTGTAAAAAAACTCTGCTGTTTTACTCAGCTGGCTAAGCAATCTAGCGGGGCATTCCAAAATATAGTGTAAAAGCTCTGCTGTTATGGCTCAGCTGCTAAGCAATCTAGTGGGGCATTCCAAAATATAGTGTAAAAATGCTCTGCTGTTATGCTCAGCGCTGGCTAAGCAATCTAGCGGGACATTCCAATATTTAGTGTAAAAATGCTCTGTTGTTATGCTCAGCTTGGTAAGCAATCTAGCGGAGCATTCCAAACTATAGTGTAAACATGATCTGCTGGTATGGCAACAGCTGGCTAGGCAATCTAGCAGGCATTCCTTAAATATAGTGTAAAAATGCTTAGCTGTTATGCTCAGCTGGCTAAGCAATCTAGCGGGACATTCCAAAATGAAGTGGTAAAAATGCTCTGCTGAATTGCTCAGCTGGCTAGGCAATCTAGAAGTGGCAATTCCTAAATATAGTGTTAAAAATGCTCAGCTTGCTAGGCCAATCCAGCAGAGCATTCCTAAATATAGTGTAAAAAAAATGCTCTGCTGGCAAGCTCAGCTGGCCCTAAGCAATCTAGCAGAGCGTTCCAAAATATAGTGCGAAAAAATGCTCTGCTGGTATGCTCTGCTAGCTAAGCAATCTAGCAGGGATTCCTAAATATAGTGTTAAAAATGCTCAGCTGGCTAGGCAATCCAGCAAAGCATTCTGAAAAATTAGTGTAAAAATGTTCTGCTGGAATGCTGAGGCTGTCTAGGCAAACTAGCAGGGCATTCTTAAATAAAGTATAAATGTCGTTGGTCTGCATCTGATTATTTGGCACTCGTAGACTTTCTAAATATTTAGTGCCAATGCAGATAATGACATTTTCTACTTCTACGGACCCTTTAGTGTCTTTTTCTTAGGTTCTCCGACTGATTCTGGGACGATCGGGCAGACTTTCAGGAATTTTTGGTGTTAAATGCAGATAAATGACATTTGTGAATTTTTAGGACCATCCAGAGTCCATTTCGTTGGTCTGCGAATGTTTCTGGAACACTCGCAGACTTTCAGAAATGTTCGGTGCCAATGGAGATAATGACATTTTTACTTTTCAAAAGGACCCTCCTGAGTCTATTTTCGTTGGTCTGCGACTGATTCTGAGTCGCTCGCAGACTTTTCAGGAATTTTGGTGTCAATGCCAGAAAATGATATTTCTGACTTATTGGGACCTTTCTGAATCCATTTTTTTGGCTCTGCGACTGATTCTGAGGCACTCACAGACTTTCAGGAATTTTTTATGTCAAGGCAGATAATGACATTTTTTACTTCTAGGGACATCCAGGGTCCATTTTTTTTGGTCTGCGACTTAATCTTTGACAGTCACAGACTTTCAGGGAATTGTTGGTGCCAATAGAGATAATTACAATTTATGACATTGTTGACCATCCAGAAGTCTATTTCGTTTTGGTCTGCGACTGATTTTTGGGCACTTGCAGACTTTCAAGAATTTTTGGTGCTAATGCAGATAATGACATTTTTAGGGGTAAAAATGCTCTGCTTATGACTAAGGGGTCCTTAAAAGTAAAAATAGTCATGATCTGCAATGGCACTAAACATCCTGAAAGTCTGCGAGTCGCAAGAAATCAGTCGCAGACCCAAGAAATGTACTCTTGCGGTTCCCTAAAAGTCAAAAATGTCATTATCTCCATTGGCCATCAAAATTCCTGAAAGTCTGCAAGTGTCCCAAAATCAGTCGCAGACCAGCGAAATGAACTCTGGTTGGTCGCTAGAAGTCAAAAATGTCATTATCTTCATTGGCACCAGAGATTCCTGAAAGTCTGCGAATGTCCCAGAATCAGTCGCAGACCATAAAAATGGACTCTGGCGGGTTCCTAGAAGTAAAAATTGCCATCATCTCTATTGGCACCCAAACTTTTCCTGAAAGTCTGCGAGTGTCCAACAATACGCTGCAAGGCTAATGAAAATGGGCTCTTAAATGTTTCATAGAAGTCAAAAATATGATTATTTCCATTGGCACCAACCATTTTGAAAGTCTGCGAGTGTCCAAGAATCAGTGCGCAGATGACCAAAATGGACTCTTGAGGGTCCTTAGAAGTCTTAATTGTCAAAATCAGCATTGGCCACCAAAAATTCCTGAAAGTCTGCGAGTGTCCTTCAAAAAGTCGCAGGGCAATGAAATAGTCTGCTTACAGGTCCTTAGAAGTCAAAATATCATTATTTCTATTGGCACCGAAATACCTGAAAGTCTGCGAGTGCCTCAGGATTGCCTAGAACTCGAAAATGTCAATAAAACTTTGGCAACAATAAATCCTGGAACTCAGAATTAGTCTGCCAACTGAGCATTCCACCAGAGCATTTTTTAACTATATTTCGGAATGCCCTGCTAGATTGCCTAGCCAGCTTAGCATTTCACCAGAGCATTTTTTACACCATTTAGTAATGCCCTGCTAGATTGCCTAGCCAGCTTAGCATTCACCAGAGCAATTTTTCACTATATTAAGGAATGCTCTGCTGTAGTGCCTAGCCAGCTGAGCATTCCAGCAGAGCATTTTTTAAACTATATCTAGTAATTCTCTGCTAAGATTGCCTAGCCAGCTGAGCATTCCACCCAGAGCATTTTTTCACTGTATTAAGGAATGCTCTGCTATAGTGCCTAGCCAGCTGAGCATTCCTGCAGAGCATTTTAACACTTTATTTAGTAATGCCCTGCTAGATTGCCTAAGCCAGCTTTATAGTCATTCCCAGCAGAGCATTTTTTACACTATATTTCGTTAATGCTCTGCTAGATTGCCTAGCAGCTTAGCATTCCAGCAGAGCATTTTTACACTATATTTAGCAATGCCCTGCTATATTTGCCTAGCCAGCTTAGCATTCCAGCAGAGCATTTTTACACTATATTTAGTTATGCCCTGCTAGATTGCCTAGCCAGCTTAGCAGTTTTCCAGAAAAGCAATTGTTCACTATATTTAGTAATGCTCTGCTAGATTGCCTAGCCAGCTTAGCATTCAGCAGAGCATTTTTACACTGTATTTAGTAATGTCCTGCTAGATTGCCTAGCCAGCTTAGCATTCCAGCAGAGCATTTTTTACACTGTATTTAGTAATGCTCTGCTTGATTGCCTAGCCAGCTTAGCATTCCAGCAGAGCATTTTTTTTCACTATATTTAGGAATGCTCTGCTATAAGTGCCTAGCCAGCTGAGCATTCCTGCATAGTATTTTAACACTTTATTTAGTAATGCGTTTCTAGATTGCCTAGCCAGCTTAGCATTCCAGCAGAGCATGTTTTACAACGTTATTTCGTAATGCTCTGCTAGATTGCCTAGCAGCTTAGCATTCCACCAGAGCATTTTTACACTATATTTAGCAATGCCCTGCTAGATTGCCTAGCCAGCTTTAGCATTCCAGCAGAGGTTTTTTTCACTATATTTAGGGAATGCTCTGCTAGATTGCCTAGCCAGCTTAGCATTCAAGCAGAGCATCTTTTACATTATATTTGGGTAATGCCCTGCTAGATTGCCTAGCCAGCTTAGCATTCCAGAAAAGCATTTGTTCACTATATTTAGTAATGCTCTGCTAAGATTGCCTAGCCACCTTAGCATTCCAGCAGAGCATTTTTACACTGTATTTAGTAATGCTCTGCTAGATTGCCTAGCCAGCTTAGCATTCCAGCAGAGCATTTTTTCACTATATTTAGGAATGCTCTGCTAGATTGCCTAGCAGCTTAGCATTCCAGCAGAGCATTTTTACACTATATTTATGTAATACCTGCTAGATTGCCTAGCCAGCTTAGCATTCCAGAATAGCATTTGTTAACTATATTTTAGTAATGTCCTGCTAGATTGCCTAGCCAGCTTAGCATTCCAGAATATGCATTTGTACCTATAATTTAGTAATGTCCTGCTAGATTGCCTAGCCAGCTTTAGCATTCCAGCAGAGCATTTTAACACTATATTTAGTAATGCACTGCTAGATTGCCTAGCCAGCTGAGCGTTCCAGCAGAGCATTTTTTCACTAAAGCTAGGAATGCTCTGCTAGATTGCCAAGACAGCTGAGTATTGCAGCAGAGCTTTTTTTACACTATATTTAGGAATGCCCTGCTGGATGCCCAATACAGCTGAGCATTACAGCAGATCATTACCTTCCCTATATAAATTGAAATGCCTTTTTGCTTAGCTCACTGTTCACTGCTAACTTCTCACATACCAAATGATAATCGATTCTTTGTTAACATGCAAATTTATGACGTCATTTAGTTTTGTTAAGAACAAAAGACTATTCTCTAAACATTTCTGTATATTTTTGTTTCATAATAAATGAACCATTTTTGTATGTGTTATGCCAATGCGTTGAAAATTGCCTTAAGTAAATATTACAAATGTACTTTTCTAAATGAAAGTTTCAAAACAAAAAATACCATTTAAGTACACTCATTGTTTTTCTTTCTTTCATTATTGCAGAGTGTCAGGCGTTTTATTTTGATAATGGAATTGCCTACGGAAATGTGCGTCATGTAAATGCAAAGGCACGGATCAAATGTCAAGATGGATATAGAGAAATTAACGGAGTTCAAGAGGTCACGTGCAACAACGACGGTTACTGGAGTTACCTCCCGTCTTGTGTTTTACAATCAAGTTCAACAGCAACAGTCACACCAGGTCCGACGACTGAAGAAACAACGACAGTTGTAGAAACAACATTTTCCACAACAACAACGGTTGGAGTAACAATATCTACCGCCGCAACAACATGTGCACAAACACCATCTTTTTCAACAACAACATCAACTCCTTCACCAACAACAGTATCCACCGCAACAACAATGGCTGTTACAACAATAACAACAACAGGTGCACCATCTCCTACATCAACAACACCACCATCTCCTACAACAACAACACCACCATCTCCTACAACAACAACAACAACAACACCATCTCCTACAACAACAACACCACCATCTCCTACAACAACAACAACACCATCTCCTACAACAACAACACCACCATCTGCTACAACTACAACACCACCACCATCTCCTACAACAACAACACCACCATCTCCTACAACAACAACACCACCATCTCCTACAACAACAACACCACCATCTCCTTCAACAACAACACACCACCATCTCCTACAACAACAACACCACCATCTCCTACAACAACAACACCACTACCTCCTACAACAACAACACCACCATCTCCTACAACAACAACACCACCATCTCCTACAACAACAACACCACCATCTCCTACAACTACAACACCACCACCATCTCCTACAACAACAACACCACCGTCTTCAACAACAACAACAACAACTCTGCCAGCTACAACAACAACATATGCTACGCCTGTAACAGGTAATTAAAATGCTTCATTACGTTCTTATAATATGAGTGCCAGTATGGCATATATTCAAAAAAATACACAAATTCACAAAAATATGCGTGGTACACTTTTTCAGGCCTAAAAAAATACTGTTGTTACAAGTGTAAGGGTAACATGCTCTCCAGGAAAAGTCAGGGTTTATCGGATTTTCTATAAATCATGTTCAGTTCTGAAAATCTAAACCCAAAGAAAATGTTCATACCCTGTTGTCCTTGAGAATCATCCGTGGGCCCTTGTCAGATGGTTGACATTGAAACCTTCGATAATGTCCCCGGATGACACAAAAACATCCTTTTTAACTCTTCGACGTAACATTTCTGCCTCTCGACGTTTTTGTTACTGTGCAGCATGAAAACCCGCCCGTAATGTACTTCTAAAATATGAAGTTCGATATTTTTTTATTTTTATTTATTTATTTACAGACCTAAAATGGTATTTTGAGGGATATTTTTCAGATGCGTAAGGTGACACTAACAAGTCAATTTCTTTTTAGGCCTCACCTGATCATTCGTTTGTTTTCCACCTTGGAATTGTTGAAAGGTTTTGTTGAGGTTTGAAGATGTTCAGCACGACATTATTGTTGTGTATACATGTTATGTGGTACTTTTAGTTTCTTTCTATTTGGCCATTTTCAACTTGGGTGGTTCAGTTATATCTCCTTGAATACTGTATAATCACGCCTTAGGCATATGTTGCCTGCTTTTTAAATTTGTCTTTTTGAAACGTCTTATGCTGTGATATGCCGGCTTCATAACCTCAGATCCCCTTTTCAAAATCTATTTTTATTTAGTTTCCGCCCATTGTTTCTCGTTTAGGGAAAGCATTCTCTTTACTTGGGGACCATACGCCGTTTTTATGGAATGGCACTACGTGTCACATAATGAAAGTTACCATGATAACCGCTGATATGAAACATCTGCGGATGTTTCAAATTCAAAATTTAAGCTATTTTCGTCGGTGCTAGGGGGCGTGGACGGTAACTTGCAATTTCAAGTACCGTCCATGAACAGGCTCAATCAAACCGAGCCTGAAACAATTTCAATTTTGATGTGTTGGGCTTTGTGATTTCTCTATTTTATTTTAGAGCCGTTAAAAGTATTTATAAGTAATTACACGCATGATAAGCAGGCGGAATACTGAATGTTATCTAGTACTCGCTCATTCAGACTTTTGACCAAAAGTTTTCCGAATATATGCATACATTTGATATGAGTTCAAACATTAAGCAGTCACACTCTGGGAAGACTATATTAAGGGTAATAATTTGGGAAAAACAATAAAACCATAGCATTGACGAAGCAAATGTGTGAGTGTGTGGAAAACGTAACCAAGCAGTTTGAAGGAAGGCTGGACCTAACAATTTGCGGAAAGCTTAACCCATCAGTGTGCGGAAAGCTTGGCCCAGCAAATTGCGGAAAGCTTAGCCAAACAGTGTGCGGAAAGCTTGACCCAGCAATTTGCGGAAAGATGCGAAAGCTTGACCCAGCAATTTGCGGAAAGCTGCTAAAAGCTTTACCCAGCAATTTGCGGAGGCTTAACCAAGTAGTGTAAGGAAATATTGACGAGACATTTTAAGTAGAGTGAAACGCAGTAGTGTGTGGAAATCTTTACCTAGCAGGATGAGGTAAACTTCAAGATATAATACAGCTTATTTCCTTTGCTTTGTCTTGCTATTTTTTTTTTTTTTTTTTTTTTTTTTTTTTTTTTTTTTTTTTTTTTTTTTTTTTTTTGGTACGGGGCCAGACTTATAAATGACCTGCGCAATGACGTTAGAAATTTTGAATGCTAAAAAAGTATAAAGTAAAAATTAATATTAATATTTTATCAAATTTTTATATTTCTTTATTCCAAATGTTCTTTATCATTACAGTTTGTCCATCAGACCTCAGTGAGTGGATCACACCAAGTGCAGATTACACGTCGTTTCAGGTCTTGTTTGTTGTACAGAATGCAAAACGAGACCAATCACAAACTGGATGTGCAGGACACAGTTCAAGTCTTGTTAAAATCAACGCACTATGGAAGCAAAATGCCTTAGCAGCCTCGCTAGAAAACTGCGACGGTAGGCTGTTTGTTCCTATTGATACACGTAATACCAAAATATATCGAAATATGTAAAAAGTGGTGAAAGTAATTACGCACTTTTTGACACTAACTAGCATGGATTAAGTGTTTGTATGTTAGCATAACCTATGGTGGCTGATTTGTGCCATTTGTGTTTTCGCCCCGCGACCTCGCCGAATTAACAAGTTAACGGGGTCTCGGGACGAAATCACGCTTATAAGCGGGGGCGCGCGGCAAAGTTTTATTTATTAAACTTCGCCCCGCGCCCTCGCTAAAAAGCGTGTTTTCGCTCCGCGCCCCTACCATTTTAACTTATTAAATTTCGACTTTTCGCTGAGACAAAAATACGAATGGCACGTGTCAGCCGCCATAATAACCCGCGATACTTTTTTAAAAACTCAACGACTTGGCTTCCATTAGCTCAGTTATGACTTATACAAATTCACAAGTTTAAATGACACTATGCCTCAGAAACAAATTAATGCTTACTTTTTAACCAAGGGAAAAGTTGTATTTTATGATATTTAAAAAAAATATTATAATTATGCGTGTTGCGATAAATATGGAAAATAACACAAAAGCAGCAAAATGTAATCAAACAAGTATTTTGACTTCCATACTAAGTACCTATTCACTATAACTGTGCAAACAATGGAACGTATGAAAAAGCTTGTTCAGGTAATTTGCCAATAATTAACTTTAAATCAAAATTACATTAAAATTAGAAATTTTTGAAAAAGAGCATTTCTTATATTAGGCATAATCACCGTAGGGAACGTGTTACAGTATCTCGTTTTCCGGATACAGTATAGAATTTTCAAGATGAAGGATTATTTATGGGGAAGAGAGGTATCCAGAACATACTTCAAGTAGTTTAGATTCTAAAAGACGTTGTGCCTTGCTTGTAAGGAACTGGATCCGGAATCTAGTTTTACATGTCTTCAGCACGATGCTGTAACATGTTCCCTATGGTGATAATAGGCCTTTAACTAAAAAAATTGAATCCAAAGAAACGAAAATAATCTGAAGATTGTAACAAACAAAATTATTGTTGACATTCAAGAAGCGTTTATGAATTCGGAAAACATGGATTTTGGTAAATGCTGTCTTACGAACGCTGCTGTCTTACGAACGCTGGCTTATTTACTTAACTTTCTGGTTGATGACTATATATATTGCTTCTACATATTGCAAACAGTTAATTTTACAGTTATTTTTCATAGGCTACTTAAATATGCTCACATGTTCCAGCGAGTTTTGCATCGAAGTCGATTTCATACTGTATTTATAAAATAAAAATCACCATTGATATTATTTTTTTATTTTGCCTATACGATTATAAATAATATCAATATATATACATGTTTATATTAAAGTTTTCAACGGATTTCTTTCAAGTCTGCTATTGGAGTTGAGGGTTAAGAGTGGATAGCTTGGATTTTAATGGACTCAGTCTGATGCGATGTAGGGAATTTCGGATTGTTGGGCAGCCGAGCAGTTTGGTGTCAATTGTGGTATCTATAATAGCTACAATTGTGGAGGAGAATTGTAATAAATGTGGCTATATATGTGAACGGACCTAAGTAATGAATTTTAATGCTGGATTATATTTTATTAAAAAATTTATACCATTTAAGTTAATGTGTGACGTGGTACCGATTTAGTAAGTATGAGTGGTCCTTGTACGAGTTGTGATGGTTTGGAGGCGAGGAAGGAGTATAGTGCGAGTGTTTAGTTCGCGAGTTTTGTGTGTTGTGTTCGCACAGAGATTTTTTACCTGTTGTCATTTTGTTTTAGGAAATAGCCGAGATGAGGGCAGCAAGAAGATTATGGGCAAACTTAGTGAAGGAGAAGTTTCAACCTGAGAACCCTAAATCACTGCAGTAATTGAAATTTCAATTGTAATTTCACCGGTTAGATTCAATCATTTTTTGCAGCCTGTACAGTTATTGTTAATTATCGACGCCTTTCTTTATGTATCATAATATCTTTTTTTATTTTCCAGCGATTAAAACAGAAAACAATGTTTTCGTTAAATATAATATGGAACTGTTTTGATAATTTTCATTGTTCAAGATTCTCACCATATTTGAAATGATGTCCATTTAGCCTTTATGTTGCCAAAATTGAACATTCAAGACTTTCTTTGTGCTCTTGACTAGCACTTCATTTTTGCTTTATAAAGCCAGTTTGACTTAGGATTTTTTGGCACTAAACATTCTCAACAAAAAATAAAATTTAGGGAAACTTGGTTAGAAAAATTGATTGACATGTAAATTGTTTTGTAAATGTCATTGTTAAGCAAAAAAGAATACTTTTGGAAGCAATTTAACAGCCTAGTGCAATTGATAGACATCAAAATAATAATCTAATTCACTTGGAGCAAACGATAGAATCATCATCAATATTAAAACACAATGCTTAGGTTCAAAGGTCTGACTGTGTTGAAGATGTCTTAATTTGTAGAAAAATAAAAATTAAAATAATAAAATATAATAACACATGGGTTTGTGGGTAACAGTAAAATATCATCCCGAGGGAAAATACTGTTACCCGAGGCGTAGCCGAGTATTTTCACGAGGGATGATATTTTAACTGTTACCCACAAACCCATGTGTTATTTATTTTATTACCCCGAACAAAAATTGTGATGATCTGAATTTGTAAACTAAATCTAACTGTAAAAAAAATAAACCAAGAGTAGCAATAACTAAACTGTCCTTTCCTTACAAGTTTTAAGTGTACTGTAGGCCTACTTGAGAAGCTGTTTTTCTTAATTCTTTAAGCAAGTCTTTAATCTACCAGTCATAAACATACAATAAGCTGTGTGATTTATTTACCATTTATAAGGTTATGATCTGTGAAATCTGATCCTTTTGTATCCAGAATATTTTTGCATGGTTTTTGACAAAGTGCATTTACAAAATAACGATGATATTCTACAGATGTCTGTCCACCAACTCTATCTGTAACGTATCACTGGTTAAATTGTAACTGTGCTTTTAATCATTGCATGTTCCAGTTTGACACAAATGTTCACATTAATTACTTCGTTGAAAACGGAGTTTACTTCTGATTTTCCAAAACGATATTTCTAACGGAAAAGACTTACTGTAGGGACAAGAATAAATTTAGAGAGTCTATTATTTTTGGCGATGCCTAGCCTATCGTGAAATATAAAATAATCGAGGGAATGGGAGTCATTTTTTTCATTTTTTTGAAGATGACACGTGACCAATTTCATACTGTTAAAAAATACTGTTACCTATGTAACAGTACAAAATTCTTAGTCACCTGGTACACTTGCATTAACAGAAAGACTAACTCCCAGAGGCCTATGGGAAATTAACATTACGAAAAAAGTGAGGGGAGGTGATAATTAAAATGTTAAAAAATAAAACAACAAAATTTCACAATTGTATACTTTTCCTTATGATATATGTGTTATACATGTGGTTGATACAAGTTGATAAATAATTTGTATAACTTTAGATCAAATATTCTCAAAATATGCCGACCCTTGAATATTTGGGTTTGATCCTCAACATTTTTTACCCTTGATTTTCAAAGTCATGAACACCCTGAAAGATTACATTAAAATTTTGGTTCGGTATATTAAAAAATGATGACGTCTTCCTCCACCAGTGACATTTGAAAGTTGCCGTAAGGCTTTTAAAAAATAGTGCCATAAAACGTGTTACATTAAAAACTTTATTATATTAGCGATGCTTTAACACTTGTAACGTATTCGATATTATCTGCTTCTAGTAACATAAGCATTTTAACTAAAAACTGGAAATCATTATCTTGTTTGCTTGATCTATAATTTGAGTAAAGGTTGTTATTGCATTTCTTTAAAAATAAATTCCAACCTTTGATTCATTCGTTTTCTGACAACAAAAAGAATCAAACCCGATTTTTTAATACTTATAAAGATTCCATAATTATTTTCAAAGTTTACTGAGACTCATCAGGAAATGACACGTGACGTGATCATTTGTATTTGTGACTATTTACGTCGGCACAAAAGTAGGTCAAGGTATTGCATGAATTTAAGTCAAGAAAAAAGGTTATTGATCTCTTGGTCAATTTAGATAGAAAATGAGATATTTGCACTGTTTTGTCCATAAATAAGAGCATCAGAGAGGAAAAAAGAAAAATATTGTTAAATATTGAAAAGGAAATTAACAAGGGCGGGGGGCGGCGTTATAGTTAGGAGACGTTTTATTGATGTAAAATGTACATTAGTTAGCTTAATTTTAAGATCAGTCATAATCATTCAGTTCTTAATTAACTATTTCAAAGGATGTGATTACGAGTGGATTTAGTTACAATATTGTTTCTACAGAAATTGCATGGTTAGCTATTTGGGTTAACCAATGTGAAAGAAGAAAGTAGTGTTGGTTACTCTCATTCATATTTTGACATGTCAAGCGATATTTTTATTTCCGAGTTTGCCTATCTAATGTTGGATAGGACAATATCTTGTGTGCAAATTAACATCATTCCCTCACCTGTTTTTCCCACAGGCAGTCGGTGCATGGTTTGGATAGTATACATGTACATGACCACGCCCACTTATTTTTATTAAATGAAATATTTTTTTCACTAATAAGATATTTTTCACTCAAGATGTTTTAACACGTCTTATTTCCAATAAAACAACAAAGGAAAGTTGATTATAAAAATGTTATCCGTACGTACCAACTTGCCTTATATTGTACAATTTCCGAAAAAAAATCATGTCTGAGTAGATTGCACTTTATTTGGTGATATAACAAAGATCTGGGAGGGGTAAAATAAGGCCTGGTGGTAGTTCCGCTGGCGGACTTTCCACCTTTACAATATTTGTAGTATATGTGGATGAAATTTTTAAATAAGATGTTTTAAAAACATTTTAGGTGAACAATATTTTATTAGTGAAAAATATATTTTATTTGTAAACATAAGTTGGCGTGGTCATGTACATGTATATTATCCAAGCCACGCAAA